CAGGCTGTGCAGGCACGGGTGCTTGCAGCCTTGCAACTGGCACAAAGTGAGTAGCCAGCCCGTGGCCCTTTAAGGGCTCCCGGGCCGGGGGGGGGGCAATAGAGTTTCCCTGGTGTTGGCCAGAGTGGCCAGCAGGGTCTGCTAGCTGGGTGCTGGCAGGCTTGCACCTGGCACGGGCACCGTAGCCAGCCCGTGCCCCTTTCAGGGGTCCGGGGCCGGGAGGGGGGCATAGAGTTTCCCTGGTGTTGGCCAGAGTGGCCACCAGGGAAACCTGGGAAGCCTTAGCCTCCCACTAGTTCGAACTAAAGGGCTACACAGCCCTTAGTTCGAACTAGCTAGTTCGAACTAGGCGTTAGTCCTCGTAAAATGAGGTTTACCTAGTTCGAACTAAGCGCTCCGTTAGTTCGAATTAAGTTCGAACTAACGGAGCGCTAGTGTAGCGCCTAGGAAAGTTAGTTCGAACTAACGGACGTTAGTTCGAACTAACTTTCTAGTGTAGACATACCCTGAGATGGATTGGGAAAAGTGGCAGAATAGCACGAGAAATGCTGATGACTGGAGGACTCTGTGTACACTTGAAAGCTTGTCTCTCTCACCAATAGAAGCTGGTCAAATAAAAGATATTATCTCACCCATCCTTAGAGGAAGTTTGATGGTTTCAAACTGCTCAGGAAAGAGCAACATTTTTGGTTTGAATTTAGAAGACAGGACTCTCATCACATGTATGTAAGATAACTGCAACATACGCATGAAAGCAATAGCATCCTAATGCATTCTCATGTTCTACAACACAAAATAATCTACATTATCAACAACAGTTTTTTTTATCAACTTTAATATCTTATGTCAGTTGAATGCATTAAATAGCTATGAATGTAGTATAAAAAAAATCACAGAAGCACTACAATCAAATTTTGGCCGAAAACCACTTTTATTTCTTGCTTTCACAGGATGTATTCCAATTTCTGAAAATACGAAAAGCCATCTCTACTAACCTTAAAGGAAGCATGTAGCTCTTTTGACTGAAACACCTGATACTGTAAGAGATTCAAAAGTCTACACAAATGAAGGCTGAGAATCCTGATCTCTTCTTCATTAAAGAGAGAGAAAGAAGAAAGGCAAATCTCTCTTCACTGAGGGCACGTCTAGATTGCCCGCGGCTTTGGAAAGAAGATATACAAATTTGGTGCAAATATGCATATCTTCTTCCAATCCTGTTTTCAAAAGAGTTCTTTTGAAGAAAAAGCAGTCTAGATGCAGTACTTTCAAACCCCCCTCCCCTTTTTTGAAAGAATCCTGTAGACCTCATTTTTTTAGGAAGGGTTCTTTCGAAATAGTTTTTTTCCCAAAAGAATCACTTCTAGACTCCTTTTTTAAAAAACTCTTCCAAAAATGGGATTGGAGGAAGATATGCAAATTCATGCTTCTTTTGAAAGCCGCAGGCAGTCTAGACATGCCCTGAGATGCATTGAAAATATTTATTTGGAGAGAAGTGAAAAGAAGGGTGGGACCACCCATCTTTGGGCATGGGAAACAGAGAACCAAATACCATATTTATACCTTTGTGTTTATGTGATTTTTGTTACCATGCTTATGAGCAACATAGACAGATCTAGCTATCTTATGCTTTTACATAGTAAAAATCAGCCCAGTATCTAGAATTTATAATTTATGGTAATATTGTCATGTGAAACTCATGAAGAGCTGTTTCTATTCCATAAAGAAGCCTTCTTACTAAATGGATAGTCTTATGGAGTTATTACTTATGGAGTTACTGTGCCAATAATGGAATTTAAAGAAATGGGGCAAGTGCAATACACTGCCGTCAGTACCCTTCCAGTATTCAAAATTCCAAACCTCTCAGCTGTGAAAAACTCTCTTTATGAAGATATTGCACTTAAAATAAAAATCACTTGAAGGGCAAGTAGTAGAGTGGGTTGTATCTCTGGAGTCCTGAAGCTAGATGCTCAGCTGGTATAAATGATAGCTTTACTGACTTCAATGGAATTATGTTTTACACTAGCTGAGCATCTGGCTTTTGGTTTCAAACCTGGGTTGATGCAAACGTGAAAATAAACATCTGTGATTATACAATGGCACATGAGTAGCAGTATTTAATTGAGAGAAGTCTAGCAATAAAATAATAGACTATCGAGATAGAATAGCAGAGAGAAGTGAGCTCCCTTTACTTCTGCTTCTACTCTTACTTTCAGAAGCACTAAAATCAACTCGGCCACAACATTTTAAGAGAAAAACAAAAGCACGGATAAATAAAAGAAGTCAAAGCAAATTAATTCTAAAAAAAATGTGATAACTGCTTTTTTATAAACCACACATTCCTAATGTGGAATACAAAGCATTTTTGGTAAAATGAGAGTGTAGTCATCACTTTGCATACCCTGAAAAGATGAGACTAATAATGGAAATAATTTGTACTTTTAACTGTTCATTAATATTGAAAGGGTCAAACTTCCTTCATGAAATAAACTGACATTTTACAAAATCCTTTCATATCCTCTGTGTTAAAAAATACACATTTATTTGAACAGCCAAGAAAAAAACTGCAATTTATTAAGTTTCAAAGAATCTTCGTACTCTTGAAAGCAACTTTCGGTGCATGTTCTTTAACAATCACATTCTATGAGGAGAAGTAACATTAAAAGCCACAAACTTTGTTTTTAAATCTCAGAGTTACAGACATTAATTCCAAATGAAAGGCAAAAACAAAACAAAAACAATTTTTTTTAACTTCCATCGCCAATTTTAAAATATCAGGAGTTTTTCTACAACTCAATGCTAAGCTTCAGCATGGAAAATTTTATCTACTGTATGGAAACACGCACATACACACATACATATTTTGTGTGTGTGTGTGTATATATATATATATATATAATATATATGTAGAATGCGTGTAATGGCAATGAGATGCAATTACTCTGAGGAAAGGTTATTTAGCTAAATACATTACTAAAACTTGAGAAAAAAAAACAAGTCTTGAACCCAGTTTGTGCATAGTTCATGATCCTCTATAAAACCAGCTTTTGTTGATTTGCAATCTTGCAGGACCCTTTTTATCTGATAAAACCATTAAAAAGCTAATCTTCCAAAAAAAATAAAATAAAAAATGTAATGCACAAGTTTCCTGATCCAAGCAGGCAGGGAGCACAATGTTCATATAATTTTTAAAACATACTTGAAGGGTATGTTATTCAATTGTCTTTCTTCCTTTCAAAACAATCAAAAACATTGATCATTTTTTAAAACATAAAGCAATTTTTTAATATATAAAGCACTCTTCAAACATCTATTTCTTTTGAGTCCATTATTTGGTAAATATGTAACTGCTACACATTAGATTAGGTATTTTCTTCTGTCTTTTTATTTTTTTTATTTTTTTTAATAATATCTTCAGTGCTAGGAGTTGGGTTTAAAAATACATGAAATGGTGTGGAGTTGCTCCTCGGGAAACCCGGCTTTCCTGAGACATCTTCCACCATGTGCAAGATAGTGATCACAAAGTTTTCGTCACTTTGACGAAGAAGAAAACAACAACAAAAAATATTACACAGCAATGGCCAAAGAAAAGGGTAATACAACAACACTGTTCAATCCCAGAGCTCTGAAGTAGCATATCTTCATTCTGAAAATAGGGTTCTTTACGAGGGAAGTCTTTTTTTCCTTTCTTTTTTTTTAATTCCTTTTTTTATTTTAAAGTTTGAAGGAGAGAAAAAAAAAAAAGGTCTGTAAACAGGTGGGAGCCAAAATTCCTGACTCCTTCAAAAGCGGTGAAAACTGCGTCCAAGTGCTTGTTTGTGTTCCTGCTCGCAGGGGACTATCCACTCTTTACAAACATCTATGGCCACAGTTCAACAGGAGTATTTCCTTAAAACTTTAAATTCCGAATGGAAAACGGTGCAATACTCCGGTAATAATTTTCTTGCATTAGTCCACAATAAAAAGCCGCTAAAGGTAGATTTACACATTATTCTCCAGAGATACACACTGTCATTTTTAAAACGCAATAAGAGTCCTTGAGTAAACATTTACACATGAATTGTCGCCGGCCCTTCCTATCAATTTTTTTTTTAACATATGGGATTAGCTACAAGAAGGGCTGCAAACACTCAGTGCAAAGTTAGAAGCTAATAACAATTAAACATTTGACCAATGAGCAAATAAAAAGCATATACTGAATAAGAGAAAAAAATCACCCTTTTGTTAAATCACACACGGGCTCGCACGCACACACACATACCCACAAGCTCGCTCACACACACATACATCTGTTCCAACACATAGTATGAACTTTAAAAAAATTCCTAGAGCCTGTTTTCTGTGTATTGATGCCAACCTGGAAGTGTAATATTAGAAAGTGTTCACATTTTGTTATTGGCCTGCTGGATTCAAGTATTTGCATGTTTGATATGTGTTTTTTTTTTTTTTTACTTTTTATATTTTTTGGGGATTTTTAAAAAATGACATGAAAAAGTAATGAAACAAGGGTAATGTGCATAGGCAGATCCATAGGAGCACTGGACATGGATATCCCATCCCCACCCTCCAATTCAACCTGTACAGTCAATAGTTACCATTCGAATTCATTACTTTTCTGTACCAAAGATGAATATCACATTCCACTCTCTTCTGATTATTGGGTCCGCCTCTGGTAATGTGCATAATAGTCACAGGCTCATTTAAAATAGGCTTTCTTTTTTCCCCTCCCCTTAAAGTTGATAAAATAACCCTTTCCAGCCCAAATTCTGAAAAGTGCCCTTCATGATAGACCTATTCTAAGCAGCTTTTATACTTCGTTTTTAAAAAACACCATACAAACATAAAGACATACAATAAAAAGCCATGAAAAAAATAAAACCTGTCATTAGCATGTGACACTGACCAAATGTAGTCCATACTGTTTCATTAACAGTTCACAAGGACTTCTGCAGTTTCATATTGGAGATTGGACAGAGGTACTAAAAAGGGCTGCCAGTCTGATCTGTTAAAGCTGGATTCTTCGTGAAGCCCTGGACTGGAAAGGGTTACATTTTTTTTCCTTAGTGCTGATGATTGTTATTTCCACTTTGTTTCTCTCCTTTCCTAGATGGACTCCCCACTGAGAAGATCACCTGGGAGCAGAGTATTCAGAGGTGTTGGGCTGCCAATAACCCTGCCATCATCGGTGCTGGGGGGTCCCCAAAGGCTGCTTGAGTACTGAGGGACCCCACCCCAGAGCAAATCGCTGCTCCCTTTGCCACCCAGGCAGGGAGTATTCCAGTGGCCTGCATCATTCCGCACCAATCCATGAGAGCTGCTTGTGGAGCCCATACGAGTCTGACTGGTTCCAGTGTTGGACTGCCAACTGGAGGTGGGTGGCAGTGGCTGGCCTTGTGCTAAGAAACGGTTTACTTCTTCTTCACCAGCAAACTCAGCCAAGATGGTAGTGTTTCCCAACACACACCTAACAACAAGAACACAACACTGTGAAACATAAGGATATAATTTACAGGTATCAAAGACGACTATCAAAGAGGGTAGAATTTTTATTAAACCCATGTTAAGTTTGAAGCCAGCAGAGAAGCCCAAATTAGGCTACTGCTAAATCGTTTTCATCCCAATAATTCTATTTTATAATTACAGGAGTATACAAGCATATGCACACATAAAAATCCATACACCTGAAGACCAGTATTTCCTTAAGCTGTGTAGCACCCACACTGTGTGGTCATGCAGAAGAGAACCAAATGCTGCCCAGATAATTAGCAGAGCGACCACAACTAATTTTTTTGTTTCTACCAGTGGTGCACATTTACACGTCTCAGTGCACATAAACATTTTATTCTGTTCATGGATGGAAAATGATTAGAGGGAATATAGATGAAGACAGCATATTTTAGTCTGTATACTCTTCAAGGCGGGGACTGTGTCTTCTTTTATTTTTGGAAAATATCTATGCATAATGTGGGTGCTACCAGATGCTAATAAAAGGAATTTATTCACCCTGGCTGTGTCTACATTGGCATCCCTTTCCGGAAAAGGGATGCTAATGAGACACTTCGGAATTGCAAATCCGCGGGGGATTTAAATATCCCCCGAGGCATTTGCATTTACATGGCTGCCGCTTTTTTCCGGCGCGGGGTTTTTGCCGGAGAAAAGCGCCAGTCTAGATGCGATTTTCCAGAAAATAAGCCCTTTTCCGGAAGATCCCTTTCAAGTAGGAATAAGGGATCTTCCGGAAAAGGGCTTATTTTCCGGAAAATCGCGTCTAGACTGGCGCTTTTCTCCGGCAAAAACCCCGCGCCGGAAAAAAGCGGCAGCCATGTAAATGCAAATGCCACGAGGGATATTTAAATCCCCCGTGGATTTGCAATTCCGAAGTGTCTCATTAGCATCCCTTTTCCGGAAAGGGATGCCAATGTAGACACAGCCTCTGTGTAGTAATGACTGTTCTTTGAGATGTGTGTCCCTGTGGATGCTCCACGGTTGGTGATGGGTTGACCCGGAGCCACAGATCGGAGCTTTTCAAGCAGTTGTCAGTTGGGCTGCGCATGCACAAGAGGCGCCTCATGCTATTCGTGTCTTGGAACCTCCCGTGCGCAGCCCAAGCCCCCCCCTTCAGTTCCTTGTCTATGCCTGAGTAGACAGGACTCTTAAGTAGATGGGAGGAAGGGAGGGTCATGGAACACCCACAGGGACACGCATCTCAAAGAACAGTTGTTACTGCACAGGGTGAGTAACTTCCTTTTCTTTTTCGAGTGATGTCCCTGTGGGTGCTCCACTGTTGATGGCAATAAAGCAGTGCTCCTTGTGGGTGGTAGGATTTGGAGTTACCACTTGGTGGTCGAAGATAGGACTGTAGCCATCGCTGTATCAACTGCAAGTTGAGGCATGATGGCATAATGCCTGGCAAAAGTGTGGTTGGATGACCAAGTAGCTGCCCAGTAGATGTCTTTAAGGGCCACATTGTTCAGGAAAGCTGGGGAAGTTGCAGTAGCATTGGGTAGAATGTGCATTGAAATTGGTGTACCATTCGAGTGCTCTGCGAAAGATGTTGAGACATATGAAAGGCTTGGGCATCATCGGAGTGGATCTTGTGCAGAACTCTTGGAACACAGATCAGTGGGAAAGTGTAATGTAACTCATACATTGGCTCCTTCCAATATATGAGGAAAGTGTCACCCAATGACCCCTCACCCAGACTTGTGCGGGAACAGAAACAAGGGCATTTGGCATTGCGTCAAGATGCAAAAAAGTTCTATCGACAGATAGCTCCATCGTTGGTTTACCGGGGCGATCAACAAATGCCTTTGATGTCGACCGCGGAGTATTCAGGCTAGTGCGCTGAGCCGACAAACAGCTGATCGGCTCAGCGCGGCAGCCATTTTAATTTAAATGAAGAGGCGATTATTTAAATCGCCACTTCATTTGGGTATGTCTAGTAAACTAATCTACATGGCTCTGGCAACAGAGCCATGTAGTCTAGACATACCCTCAAAAAAGAATTAACACTATTAACAAAGAATAATATGAAAAATTGCAAAATTGTAGTAAATGTACTTTTGTACATTTAAATGTATAAAATGTAATAAATGTAATTATTTTTGCACTTCTAAACACCTCATCTATCCTCCTACCACCAACCAATTTCCCCAGGATTTATGCTAACAATCCAACCCCCTCAGCAGGATGGACAGAGTATGATATTTCTGGGCCAGGAATGGCCAACACAGCAAAGTGTCCTCCCCTACCCCTCAAAAATACGAAAAAAGTGTCTTTGTGACACCTATTTTTTTCTTTTATATTAAATAAACATGCTTTTGCTTTTCCTTCACAAAAAAGGTTCAATGTTATTGTTCAAAAAGCAGTTAACCTGGTGCATATTTTTACTGCTGATTATGATCTTAACTCTTGTTTTGATTTAGAGATTTATTTGAGGAGCCTCAGTTTTTCAAGAGTGGTGAATCTGCTAGAATAGGTATCTTTCCAATAGCTATTCTCTGAAGAAATAGGGTGCTTTGACACAGATCACAATTTTAGAAGCAAGAGGAAGACAAACAGCAGGGTAGGGCCATTACTCGAAGAGGGAGAAACACTAACAGAAAACGTAGAAATGGCAGAGGTGCTTAATGACTTGTTTCGGTTTCACCAAGAAGATTGGTGGTGACTGGATTCCTAACATAGTGAATGCTAGTGGAAGTGGGATAGGCTTAGAAGTTAAAAAGAGGAAAAGAAAAAGTTAAAAATTACTCAGAGAAGTTAAAGGTCTTCAATTCACCAGGGCCTGATGAAATGCATCCTAGCATACTCAAGGGGTGCGTCTAGACTGGCAAGATTTTGCGCAGGATCTGAGGCAGTGGGTCTGGTCCACAAAAGCTCATTACCTAATAAACCATCTTGTTAGTCTTTAAAGTGCTACATAGTCCTGATTTTGTTCTTGTGTAAATTAGGTTGTCATGGGATAAGAGGGAAGATTCTTTCAAGACTGAGAACTGGTTAAAAGTCAGGAAACAAAGGGTAGGAATAAATGGTAAATTTCAGAATAGAGAGGGGTAACCAGTGGCGTTCCCCAAGGGTAAGTCCTAGGACCAATCCTATTCAACTTATTCATAAATGATCTAGAGAAAGGGGTAAGCGGTGAGGTGGCAAAGCTTGCAGATGATACTAAACTAATCAAGATAGTGAAGATGAAAGCAGACTGTGAAGAACTTTAAAAAGATCTCACCAAACTGAGTGATTGGGCAACAAAATGGCAAATGAAATTTAATGTGGATAAGCATAAAGTAATGCAGTAACTCCTTGTGGAATGAGGTGTAACAGTTAATCCGAACTAAGGACTTATGGTGCAGATGGTGGGTACATAATTGGCTGGGTCAGTTTTGGGACCAGTTCTGTTCAATATCTTCATCATTGTTTTAGATACTGGAATAGATAATAAGCGTATAAAGTTTGCAGATAGTACCAAGCTGTGAAGGGCTGCAAGTACTTTGGAGGATAGGGACATAATTCAAAATGATCTGGATAAACTGGAAAAATGGTCTGAGGTAAATAGAATTAAGTTTAAGAACAAATGCAAAGTACTCCACTTAGGAAGAAACAATCGGTTTCACACACTCAGAATGGGAAGTGATTGTCTAGGAAGGAGAACTGCAGAAAGGGATCTAGGGATCATAGTGGACCACAAGCTAAATATGAGTCAACAGTGTGACACTGCTGCAAAAAAAGCAAACATGTTTCTGGAATGCATTAGGAGTGTGGTCAGAAAGAGATCAGAAGTAATTCTTTTGCTCTACTCTGCGCTCATTAGGGCTCAATTATGTCCAGTTCCAGGAACTACATTTCAAGTAACATGTGGACAAATTGGATAGGACAATAAGCAATGGACTTAAATTGCAGCAAGAGAGATTTAGGATGGACATAAGGAAAAACTTCCTAACAGGGTGGTTAAACACTGGAATAAATTGTCTAGGGAGGTGGTGGAATCTCCATAATTGGAGATATTTAAGAGCAGGTTAGGTAAACATCTATCGGGGATGGGGACTGGACTTGATGACCTCTCAATGTCCCTTCCAGTTCTAATATTCTAGTATTCTAGTATTCTATGATTCTATTGTTCATTCACCCTCCGTCCTACAGTTGAGAACTCACACTGTTTCTAGGAAAGAAATTATTTATTTTATTTATTTAAATATTTTTACCCCGCCTTTCTATTTAAAATATTCAAGGCGGTTCACAAGAACATACAAACAAACCAAATATATATAACAATTTAAAATAGAAGAATTTAAAATTATGAGACCTCAGAGGGACATAACCAGCTAAAAGCATAAAGGGTATGGTCTACACTACAAAGTTAATTCGAACTAACAGCCGTTAGTTCGAATTAACTTTGATAGGCGCTACACATACAAACCGCTAGTTCGAACTTAATTCGAACTAGCGGTGTGCGTAATTCAAACTAGGTAAACCTCAGTCCACGAGGACTAACGCCTAGTCCGAATTAAGTAGTTCGAATTAAGGGCTGTGTAGCCCCTTAATTCGAACTAGTGGGAGGCTAGCCCTCCCCAGCTTGCCCTGGTGGCCACTCTGGGCACCACCAGGGAAACTCGTCTACCCCCCTCCCGGCCCCGGACCCCTTAAAGGGGCACGGGCTGGCTACGGTGCCCGTGCCAG